TGAATGTTGAATCCGACTTTTAATCATTGGATTGTTTATTTTTCCTTCTCAGCAGCCTGAGAAGACAGAGTTGTGGATTGGGGAGGTGAGTCTGGCTAGGCCCACAGAACACATACAGGTAGTCTTCAGATACATACAGCATCCATCTGAGTTTTGATCATGACCCTCTAGTGCTGGGTGCTGGATCGGATACCAGATGTGTTCAGGTGGACGCTGAAGTTGGGTCTGGGAAACTGACCAATGGGACGTTTCAAAGAAACTGTCAGTCGAGCACCACTGACACAACAACAAAGAAATTGTCAGCCAAGCAATATGACTTTTCACTATGGAAACAAAGCAAAGAGCTATCAGTCAAACAACAAACTGAATTAACTGTCCAGAGGGGGTCCTGGATTTTGTCAACAGCGGGAACATCCAGTCAAGTCTCGCTGTATGCTGAGCTATGAACTGCTGCACAAAGCTGAACTGGTCTCCAGACCAAGGGAGACAAACTGAAGACAGAAAGGCTGAAAGAAAAGCTGGTGGTCCATCTGTCCAAGGTCACTAACATCAACTGCAGCCTGGCGGAGGTGGCAACCCCACATTTGGTCTGTGATGGTCATCCGAGCGCCTTGGTGTCGTGATCAAAACTGTAGTTGGCTTTGATAATAATCACTCACATAGGCTCATTTTAAGATTTTAAGATATTTGGAGGTGGATCATCACATTCGCGGCCAGGTGGCGGACTGCGTTCAGGAGGCAGGTGGACCCCGTAGCTAGTGTCGGCTTTCGGCTGTCGAGCCGAGGGGCTGCAGCTGCTGGGACGAGGTGCGGCGGTGCGGGAGGATATCGCCGTTGGATCTTTGTTCCTGTGAGGGCCGATCTGCTGCCGTGGTTCTTGGAGCGCCTGGAGCTGCGGGATCTGGTCTCCAAGAGTCCGACTTACGGCGTCTGCTGGTCTGTGGTGGTGGAGGGCGGCTCTGGGCTAACAAATTGTCGGACCGCTGCCATCGGGCGGGTGGAAGTGAGTAAATTATGGCCACATCCAAAGTAAAAAAACATGATTTCCTGGAACCAAGCTCAGACGATATTGAGGAGATAAAAAAATCCTTGAGCTTCATGAGTGCTGAACTCGCAAATTTTACATCCCAGCAGAAACTTCTGAATGGGTTGTTTGAGGAAGTGAAACAATTAAAACTACAAATAAATCTCAAGGATAAAAAAATAATGGAACTTGAAGAAAATTAGATGACTTGGAACAGATTCAAGACAAGACAATCTTCTTATAACTGGATTAGAGATAAAACGTACATATGCAAGCACTACTTCTGGGAAGGAAACTACTGAAGATCCATTTCCACAGGAGCAACTAACATTAGAAGAGCGGGTGATCTCCTTTTTGCAAGATAAGAAGATTGACATACATCATGAAGACATCTCTTTGTGTCACACCCTGCCCAGCAAAATTGATAAGTCTAAACCGGTTATTGTTTTGAAATTCATTAGCAGGAAATTAAGAAATAAGGTAATAATGCAGGCAAAAAAACTCAAGGGAACAAAAGTGTATATAAATGAACATTTAACAAAAAGAAATGGAAATCTGGCACGTGAAGCACGGTTATTAAAAAAACAAAACAAAGTATTTTCTACATGGACAAGAAATGGAAAAGTATGGATAAAAGTTCAAGATGGATCTCAAGCAAAAATAATAAAAGACATGAAGGATCTTGACAAATTCAGATAAATCTAGATGACAAATAAACATAGATAATGAGATATATTGAACACAAAATTCATAAGAAAAAGTCTGATGAATAAATACACTGAATTACAATGACGTATGATGATTCAGAATTCAATGTTGAAGATGAGATCGACAGAAATGTTTTTCCATTTAGAAATGAAAGTTTATATTATAATGATGATCAGTTTAATGATATAAACACAACTAACGAAGATCTTTCTATTGTGCATTTAAATTGTAGAAGCTTAAATGCAAACATATCAAACATTTCAGATTATTTAAAAGGATTAAATAAGACTTTCAAAATAATAACATTATCTGAGACATGGTTAAATGAAGGAAATATAAATAATGCTTTTATTGAAGGGTATGAATTACATCATATGAACAGAAAAAACAAAAGAGGTGGAGGTGTGGCTATATTTATAAACCATGAAATAAAATGCAAATTGATTAGTGAAATGTCAATAATTGTGGAAAATATGTTGGAAATGATAACAATAGAAATAATAAAAAATAATGGAAAGAACATCATAATAAGTTGTGTATATCGATCTCCATCCTCAAATATTGAGTTATTCACTGATAAAATATTGGAGTTGCTAGAAAAGAGAAGAAATAAAAAAGTTTTTTTATGTGGAGATTTCAATATTGACTTGGGAAACATCACTGATTCAAAAAACATAAGTACATTCATAAATCCAATGTATAGTTTAAATTTTTGTCCATTAATATCAAATCCTACAAGAATCACAAATCAAAGTGCTACAATAATTGATAATATCTTTACAAATGTGACAGAGGGTGATGTGCTGAGTGGTATTTTGAAGGCAGATCTCAGTGATCATTTACCAGTTTTCACTATTTATAAGAATGATGATGATATAGTTAAAACAATTATAAGAAAGAACAAAATAATAAACACTTCAAAAAAAGCATTGAACAAATTAAAAGATGAGTTGGATAAACAAAAATGGGATGATGTATATGTAGATGATGTGAACAAATCTTATGATGAATTTATGACAATTCTAGAGGTCTTGTACAAAAAAATTTGTATGCTAAAAAATGATGTACAGAAAGATACAGTGGATCAACCATGGATGATAAAGGGATTGAGAAATGCTTGTAAAAAAATAATCATCTGTATTCGTGTTTCTTGAAATCAAAAACTCAAGAGGCTGAAGAAAAATATAAAAAGTACAAAAACAAATTAGTTGGGATCATAAGGAAACACAAGAGGGAATACTATAGTAAATCACTACATGAATGTAGTGGTGATACGCGTACAACTTGGAGAGTAATAAATAATGTTTTGAAAACGCATAAAATGAGAACGAGACTTTCACAAAATTTTGTAGAGAATGATGTGGAAATCCATGACGATTATGAAATTGTTAATGGATTTAATAATTATTTTGTTAATGTTGGGTCTAGCCTTGCAGCTATGATTCCTAATGCGGATAAAAATGTAAGTTATTTAAGTAATGGTTGCGTTAACAGTATGTTTTTGGGTAGAACAGATGAGGAGGAAATAATGAAGGTTGTTAATAGATTTGCTAACAAAAGATCAAAGGATTGTGAAGATATGGATATGGTGGTAGTAAAGGAAATAATAAGTCATGTCATTGAACCATTTACGTATATTTGTAATCTATCATTCTCAAAAGGTATATTCCCAGACAGAATGAAAATAGCTAAAGTAGTTCCTCTTTTTAAAAATGGTGACAAACGTGTATTTAGTAATCATAGGCCTATATCCTTATTGCCACAATTCTCTAAAATTCTCGAAAAATTGTTTATGACCAGATTAGATAAATTTCTTGAAAAAAACAATATTTTAAGTAATAGTCAATATGGTTTTAGATCAAATTGTTCAACATCCTTAGCTCTTATGGAGTTGATTGAACAAATTATTACAGCGATTGATAAAAAACAACATTGTATAAGTATATTTGTGGATTTAAAAAAGGCATTTGACACTATTGATCACACCATTCTGCTTGATAAATTAAATCAGTATGGTGTTAGAGGTCTTGTCCAGTGGATAAGCAGTTATTTGAGGGATAGAAATCAGTTTGTTCAGATGGATGATGTAAGATCTAATTTATGCAGAACTTTATGTGGAGTACCACAAGGTTCAGTACTTGGACCTAAATTGTTTATTTTATATGTAAATTATTTAATTGAAGTATCTGACATCCTCAAATGTGTTTTATTTGCTGACGATACAACGTTTTTCAACCATAACAAAGCCTATTTTTATTCTGCAAAAAAGAGCTGTAAAAATTATAACAAAAAAGTGTTAATGTCACCCTTCTAATGTTCTGTTTTGTCAATTGAAAATACTTAATTTTTCTGATTTGGTGGATTATAATATTCTTTTATTCATGTTTAAAGCTCAGAATTGCATGCTACCATCAAACATTCAAACATATTTTGTAAAAAGGAAGAGTTGTTATAATTTGAAGGGCATAGATATTTTTGTTAAACCCAAGTATAGAACCAGTTTAAAGGGTCGGTCTACTACTATACAGGGAATGAGTCTGTGGAATGGTTTGGAAGATGATGCTAACATGGTGAAGTCAATGTTTATATTTAAGAAATTTATCAACAGGTAAGATCTGAACCAATTGAGGGCTGATCCTGTGACACCCACCCACTGCTCCAACCTAGCAATGAGGATCTCATGGTCGATGGTGTCAAAGGCGGCTGTGAGGTCCAACAGGACAAGCAGCACAGAATCACCGGTATCTGTGAATCTGAAGATGTCGTTAAAGACCTTCAGCAGGGCAGTTTTCAGTGCTGTGGAGAGGTTTAAAGCCAGATTGGAAAAGCTCTAAGATGGCGTGATCCTCCAGGAAGCACTTCAACTGGGACTCGACTATTTTCTCCAGTACTTTAGAAACAAATGGGAGTTTAGAGACAGGCCGGTAGTTGGAAACGACTGAGGGGTCAAGGTTTGGTTTTTTCAGGAGAAGCTGGACAGCAGCATGTTTAAAGGATTTTGGCACCACGCCAGTGGATAAACTACTGTTTACTATGGCAAGAATGGACGGACCTAGAGTAGGAAAAACCTCCTTTAGTAGTCGAGGGGGGACCACATCAAAGGGGGAGCCAGAAGGTTTCAAGCTGCACATGACCTGCTCTAGAGAAGATAGAGTGATGGGTTTGCACTCTTCAGTCCAGAACCTGCCTCCAGTCCCTGTTATCTGTGGATTTGGATGCACCAAGCTGCTATGTGCTTTTTCAGTATTTCTTTCTGTAATGCACTCACCTCTCAGAGAAAACCCCATGGCAGTAGTTAAAGCCTGGCGTGTGCTGCCGTTGGCACCAAGCTGAGCCATGGACATAATGCTGGTCACACCATATGGAGATAAAACCAAGTTCTTATCCATAGAACCTTGGGACATCTGGGAGAAGATCTTCAGGCCAAAGTCGGTCTGCTTGTCTTGTAAAGAGCCCAGTCCCCCTCTTCTTAGGGCCACCATAAGGAACATGTACACACAAAGCATGCTAGAAAAAAAGAGGAAATAAAGTAAGTTCTGGTTGGTTTGGATTTAGATCCCCAATTCCCAAAGTCCCGAGTCTGATCCAGATCCTGATCCAGCAACAAGTCAGTCTACATGTTGAGTTGCATTGCACTGAAATATGATGGTGCGATGCAATGAAGTGTATCTTTGCAACCGCAGTGGTGCTGAGGATCGTGGCTCCTTTACAAGTGTGCACAAAGTGAAACATTGCACGAGGGGTGGAGTGAGCCTCTGTGGGATCTTCATCAGAAACTTAAGCAGCAGGAGAGGTTATCAGAAGTAGACTGAGTTGAAGGATGAGTAGATGGAGATGTGTGCATTGATTTTGTTTGCTCCACAGATGGTAGACTGTACTGTATTACCACCTTTCTATCTAATCAAGATAATCAAAGCTCTTTACAACACAAACTACGCCCTCATTTACTTCCACACACACATTTGTACAGCACTCTACTACACACACATTCATACAGCACTCTACTACACACATTCATACAGTACTCAGGGGCGGCTGTGGCTGAGTGGTTAGAACAGTCATCTTCCAATGCAAGAGTTGGGGGTTCAAATCCACCAGCAGTCAAATGCTGAAGTGTCCCTGGGCAAGACACTGAACCCCTCATAGCCTCTGATGTGTGTCCCATCAATATATGAATGTTATAAAGCACTGCCTAGTCTCTTTAGAAAGATTTGTTCAATTAGCTTTGTAGAGATCTAGTAGAGTGCTGTATGAATGGGTAAATGAGGACACAGATTGTAGTGTAACTTGCTTCGAGTATCTTGAAATAAGATAGAAAGGCACTATACAGGGACAGTCCATTTATTCTTCCAAATACACATTCATACAGCACTCTACTACACACACACACACACACACACTGCTCTAACCACTCAGCCATAGTTGCCTCACAACTCTGTGAGCATTTCCAAAGTCAGCAGTAAAAAGCTCCCATCCAAGTAAACAGTTCCTCCATGTCCGTGTCCAGGTTCAGGTGGGGACATTTTTTACAGCAGGTTATTCTGAATTTAATTCTCACGACTGGCCATACCTCCAAACCTTTGGATGTTACAGTTTGTTCAACATGTTTATTTTTATGAGGCATTTAATTTTAAGGCTTGATAAATAATCAATGAAACCAACATACATAAATTACACACCTGTGTCACTTTTATTGTCATTTACTTTTAGCTGCTCATTACTGATCGCTGTTGAAAATCAGACAATAATTGCAGTCCAAGGAATATGCCTGTTCAAGATGGCCATCACAGTCAACTAACCTTTGAAAACACAAAAATGGTTATAATTTGCATAACTGTATGAATATTCAGCTACAATTTGGAGTGTCTATAGCTGAAAGTCGTTCACAACACTGACTCTGAGTGAGAGGCACGATCTTTGTCTAAACTTTAGCATTAAGTGTTTAAATCAACCCTGTTACTAAAATATTGTTTTGTAGTTTGAGGAAACCTCCAGCAACTATTCTACTAATGCACATCTACGACTGATTATTTTCAGTGATCAATGCCATCCAAGATGGCCCCACAGCTGACCCCTCAGTCAGGCTGGCAGATACCGAGCTCTGATATGGTAGTAGCTGAGAGCCATTTACAGTACACACTAAGCATCACACTTCACATCAGACAGAATGCAACCAGCTAAAACCGATGACCTTAGTCTAAAACCATGAATGGCAGCCGGTGATGCACATTCATCTAAGGAATGAAAGGCCTTTGGTTTCTTCTGTGATTTTCTACGTTCTAATCCGCAGAACACATTTAGAACTCAAACTGAGGGTAATTTAAGAATAGTTTGACCATTTTATCCACCCTCAAAATCACCTGACAGAGGTCTTTCTCCTCACTTAAACAAGAACCATGGTTCTGAGGTTCTGTAGTCCCTATGTTCTATAGTTCTGAGGTTCTGTAGTTCTAAAGTTATGTAGTTCTGAGGTTCTGTAATCCTGAGCTTCTGTAGTTCTGAGGTTTTGTAGTTCTGATGTACTGTGGGTCTTACCTTTGGGTTTAGGCTCCAGAAAGAAAAGAGTAGGTCTTAGCTCCTGTTGCTTCAGTCTGAAGAAGTGAAACAGTTTGTCTTTTTGTACACCAGTTCTGCCAGAACACCACCCCCCCCCACACACACACACACTCGCTCACAGACAGACGATGATGTCATGTGTCTAAACAGACATCCTGTTCTAACTCTCTCCTGAATGTCTTCACTGACTCATGCGTGACAAAGCTCATGGAAAGTCTGTTTTCCCATTTTAACTCAAATTCATCACACCATGAGTCATACAGGAGCAATGCACTCTGGGAATCCACAAATTCTTCAGGCTTCCTGGATGTCTGATTGGATCATCACAGTCTGTTTCCATAAATACATACAAATAAATAGGACAAGTCACAAAAATCACTATTTTAGTGGTTTATGTTGGAAACAAGTTGTGCAAAGAAAAAGCATTAAATATGAATGTGTTGCTTCTTAAAAATTGGATCAATTTGTTCATGGATCACATTTGATAATGTCTGGTTTTGTGATACAAGAATAAATAATTCAAGGATTCAAGGTTCAAGGATTCAAGGTTCTTTGTAGGGTCTTTGTGTAGGGTCCCAGTTACATGCAACAAAAGTATAAAATGTAAAAGAAAAACAGTAATAAGATCTAAGATATGAACTAAGAAATATAAACAAAGTCCATGCTCAATAATCCAGGTATACAATCCAACATTTTTCAGTCAGGTCATCTGGACAGTTTCTTTTCTTGTGCTGAAACGTTTCACCTTCGATCCAGAAGGCTTCATCAGTCAAGGAAACGCACAACAAAACTGATTCTTCCCCCAACAGCTTACTCCAAAGTGGAACAATTCACAAAGTGGACTTTGTTGTTTTCAACCAGTTTGACAAGACTGTCAACAAGGAAGAGGGCCTGCAATGGAGGAGGGGGCGTACCAAAGAGACCATCTTATTACAAGCAGAACTGGTTTGTTCCACTTTGGAGTAAGCTGTTGGGGGAAGAATCAGTTTTGTTGTGTGTTTCCTTGACTGATGAAGCCTTCCGGATCCAAGGCGAAATGTTTCAGCACAAAAAAAGAAACTGTCCAGATGACCTGACTGAAAAATGTTGGAACTAAGAAATATATCAACTAAAAACACACTAAGCACTAGTAGCATAAAAACATTATGTCAAACAGCAGCACGAACATGAGTCTGAGTGAGCAGATGAGCATGCATGAACACAACAACATGATGTGACACAGTGATTATTGTATTACAGAGATTCATGAGTCTAACAACCTCAGGGTAGAAGCTGTTCCTCAGTCTAGTGGTTCTACACTTAATGCTCCTTAAACTCCTTCATGAGGGGAGTGGTGCAGTGTGTGTGCTGGGTGAGTGGGGTCCTTCATGATGCAGGAGGCCCTCTTCCTGCATCTGAAGTCTGAATCTTAGTAAACTGAATCTGAATCTAATCTAATCTGAAGTTTTTTCTTGTAACACCCAAGTTTTTTTAATGGCACATGGTGACAATCATGGAAATAATAACAATAGAAATAATAAACAAGATTGATAAAAACATATTGATAAGTTGTGTATATCGATCTCCAGGATCAAATATAGAAATATTCACCGATAAAATCATACAATTATTGGACAAGAGTTTTAATAAAAGCATTTTTTTCTGTGGAGATTTTAACATTGACCTGGGAAATAAAACATATTCAAATAACATCAGTACATTTACAAATTCATTGTATAGTTTAAAT